TGACCGCGCGCAGCGTGTACGTCAAGTTGTCGTGCGAGAGCATGACGCCTTCGGGTTGCCCGTCGTGCCCGACGTGTAGATGAGCGACGCGCAGTTGCCCGGGCGCTGGATGTCAATGCGTTCTTGGATCGTCGCCGTCGAAATGTCCGAACCAAGGCCGAGGAACGCGTCAAAATCGTAGATGGGCACGCAGCACTCGACGTCGGCCGGGAGCTGCGCATTGTCTAATCACACGCAATTTGCACCATGAGATCTTAGGCCAAAGTGCAATCTCAAGGGCAACGTACACACGACAAGCGCCTTGAGCGACGGCAGCTGGTCCGCGATCGACATGAACTTTTCGAGCTGCTTGACGCCATCGCAGACAACGACGCGCGCGAGCGAGTTGTTGCAGACATACTGGCACGCCTGCGGGCCGTTGGTCGTGTAAACGCCCGTGGCGGCGCCGCCAGCCATGATGCAGCCCATGTACGCCGCGAACCACTCGGTTGAGTTGAAGCCCGAGATCGAGACCGTGTCGAAGCGGTCAAAGCCCAACGAGACGAGCGCCTTGGCAAAGGCCATGGCCTTGGCCTCGTACTCCTGCCACGTGTACGACGCCCTACACATTGGTTTGATGATGAGCGTATGATCGTCAGGTACAGACAGATATTAGTTCATACCACTCGCCATTCTGCTTGTAGTGCAGGGCCGGCTGCGACGCGTACTTGGCCGCCGTCGCCTGGAACATCTTGCAGAGCGTCGTGGGCTCAAACTTGGCGTTGCGGTCCGTCACGCGGATGTCCACCTCGTCGGTGATGTTGGTGGCCGTGTACTTGGGCATCTTGGCGCTCGTTGGGAAATGGCGTTCGCAGCAAGTAGCGCCGGCAATGTTTATTCAACCATTGGCTTCAACCTAATTCGCCCCAGCATGCCCTTTCTTGCCGATCGACGGTGTTACGCGCCTCCTGCGACATGCTCGTCGCATGTGCTGCCATTGGTTTCTGCAACCACGTGGGCATATCAGAGCAGGAGGTCATGGCATCGGCCGTCGCGCTGCCTGTCCACGACGCCTCGGGTTTCTGCGCACGGGGCCTCTTCGTAATCGGCTACTACTCTGGCGCGCATTGCCCGAAGGTTCCGATGGATCACGAAACAAGAACGCCGCGGCCTGCGGCCGTTGTGGCCCTCGCTGACCCATACCCACGCCCGATGGGTAGTGCAATTTGCGCCATGTCTCCACCTCGCAATCGCGAGGTACGAAGACACGGCTTTCCGTCATCTTGGGCGAGCAGCCGTGACAAAACCTGGGCGCATGGGCAGCATCCCGGCGAGTGGTGGCCGCAGGTTGATATGCGAAATGAGCTTTAGGCACGGCGACAAGGATGGGGTCACAAGCAGGCGCCGTCATGGTCTTCCTACCATCGACGTCATGGCGCCGCCGCCTCCGATTTGCTCGCAAATGATTATAAATGCCATGCGTTGCATCATGGGCATGCAGATGATTGGTTTGGCCCCTCCAGATGATGGGCAAGCATCTCGGGCAGCCCCCGCGTCGGGCGGGCGCGAACCAACTGTCAAGGGTAAATAATTATATACCCTTGCAACTGTCGGGCGGCTCGCAGAAAAGTGCAATGTGGCAACGCGACGCAGCGCCTTGGTGTTCTTCAGCACCCCCTTCTTCTTTCCTCTCTCTGGTCGACAATCATCGATCAGGTGCACCCATAGCGGGTGGTAACTCCTGTCCCTGCACGTCCAAGGACACCATCCGTAATCGCCGCGCTGGCGCCTCGATGCGCCGTCCAGCGCTGAGTCGACATTAGAGATGGCATTACACACTTGGGCTCCATTGTGCTGCAGCGCGGGGGTTGAGGCAGTCGACACCCTGGCCGGTCGTGCGCGCACTGCAGTCGTAACTTGGTGGACACACCGAGTAGAGACATTGCTCGAGCCCCGCGCTGCAAGCGGTTGTTGCTGGATAGATGCTGGTCGTGGAGCTCGCTTCGCTGTGCTTCCACGAGTCCTTCGACAGAACTTAAAGCGCCGGCGGAAGGGTCTACTCAGCGTAGTATGGAAACGCTGTGGAATGCGCTGTAGCGTTTGGTAAAAGCACTCGACAGAGTCTTCTCAACACGTCAACGAAATCATCGCCCGTACTACAGAAGATGGCAAGTCCATGGACGATTGCCGTCAAGGCGGCACGCGTCGCTCAACTGCACTTGCACCACAGCCTCGTACAAGAGCCCGAGCAGCCTGCTCTTCGTCGGCTTCTCCGGCTCCTCGCCCAACACGAGTGGCCGCGACGTCACCTCGTTCCGCGGATCGCGCTCCTGCCTCCACCTGCCTAAATCAAGTCCCTCAACCGAGTACACACAACGAAGAAAGTCCGACAATTTTATTTAGCATAGTTTTATCTATTGTAATAGACGACCCACTTCAACAACTACAGAAGATGGCAGTAAACTTGTTTTAGACTCGAAGAGCTACGAGGAGCTCTACGTTCTTTACGTGAGCCAGAGTGAAGCCCTCTGCGTTGCAGTACAGTACTGCTTTGATTGACTACATCAGCTTCAAAGGAACTAAATGCCTAGACCTCTGACGGTGAAGTCGAGTCTTGACATGTGAAGCTACTTCAAGTTCGCGCCAAAATCTGGCACGATCTTTTGTATTGTGAACCAAAGACCAGGTTGGCGTTGCTTCAATATGCTGTTTCGAGATCGTGCTGGCCCCGGAAACGCAACGACGTACGCGGCAGCTAATAATCGCAATCACATTGCTCAAGACCCGCTGCCATCATAGCAAAGAAGCCTGTTGTTGTTGAATGAGTTATATTACATGCAATTATGAAGATATGGTGGACTTCCTAATGCGCTCGTGAGGCGTGGCCGGTGCGTCAGCGAGGAGCGTTAGAGGTCGTGATTCGAGATAGTGCGAGGGACCAGGTAGCCAAGGGCAAAGAAGCCTCTGTCCTCTTCCAGGCCTGCCACCAGTTTCAACTGCAGCATTGTACCACCTTGGGCCTGATTTACCTCCAGCGGGATACAAAGATGCTGGATGTGTATCCGGCATCACGCGATCAGGGCTTGGCGGCTCAGATACTGGCTCCAAACCTATAGCAAAACTGAGTTTCGGCGGTCATGCGGTACAGTGTGTCGTGTGAACAGCTCGGCCCTGCGTCCTCCACTGTTGCTTCTTGGACAAGGCGCCATTACGAGTGATTTCTTATTCATGGTTGATTTTCTTTATCTTGAAGTAGCTAGTCACTAGTCTACACAAATAGGCTAAAAAGTGATGTCTTTTCTTGGGTCCATCAGAATATGGTAGGTTCTCGACATTGGTTGGAGACCTTCTGTCGAAAGATGGTTATGTGTTTTTGTTTCCTCACACGGACCCGAGAAAGAGATAACTACTACGTTGCGATAAGAATGTCGGGGTCCAGACTGGCGAACGAGACCGGTGGCACCATGGATTTTCCTCCTCAAGAACTGAGAAAGGAACATGGCACACTGAACCATAGGACGTCCCAACGCCGACCGAAGCCGATGCGGTACGCGTCTGCAGTCTGTCTCGCAAGCTAATTAAGGGCCTCAGACTACTTTCGCATGGTCATGAAGGCCAATAAGTTATGGGGGAAACCCGTGGCTGATTAATCCATGCCTTCTTCCTACTAGGCTTCCAGTTTGCAAATGCCAGCATGCGAAGAGGCCAGTGAAAACGATTGGCTCACACCAGATTGCAATAAAATACGTCTCGCGCATTAACAACCTATGCGTTGTATGGGATATGGTGTTGATAATTTAATATTAAAAACCGCCTTACGAACCAATGAAAATATTTTGCGAAAGCAAGCAGTTGTGATATTTATTTACAAATGGTAATGAAACATACAAATAAGCAGTTTTAGTTTTACAAGAATTATATTATACGCAAAGCTACCCACATGCGAAACGATTGGCCAAAAGACACGAGTTGCGATTCCATTTCAACGAATGAACGAACGATTCTGCCGATCCCAAGGCCTGTGAAACCGACCCATTGACTGAGCCGTTTCGCAGCAGTTGAGCGCGGAAGAGTCTGTTAACGGCAACGAGAGCGACATCATCCAGCAAGTTCAAAGACAACAGAGACATGCGAGGGTGGCTGCGGATGGAGCCCGGCGCAGCTGCTTAACCAATTCCCACGTTTTGTCGGTAGGGCACATCATCGCCTGGAGATGGTCCATGCGGCATGAACCCTGGCATAAGTCAAGTATCATTGGCGTTTTTTCCGTGGTTTAAACTCGCACTCAACCCAGGTTGAAAGCTTTTGCGTCCCTGCAACTCGCGCACAACGTTCTGTCCTCGATGAAACGCGCCATATTGCATGGCGCCACAGGATTCATGTAGACTCTCTTGAAGACTGCGGCAGCGGAGTCCCGTCATGACAGTCACTGCCGACCTTGGGAACTATATACTGAAATGACATGGCGGTGCATACTTGCAAGCGAGGGCATAGTAGTACTCTTCCGGGCAATGACATGCAGGCATAGAAGAGGGGCTGCAGTCAGTCCCTCCACCGATGAACGCCGTCGTCGTCGACCAGAATTGGCCCTGCGTACAGACGTGGCGGGCTCGAGATACGCAGCTCTGAGAACCCGCCGCAACGGCGCACGCACTCGACCGGCCTATACAACCTCAACGTCTTGACTCTGATCGCTCGCTGTTCACTGCAGAAGAGTATGGGCCTGCACATCTTTGCGAAGCGAGCTTCGCCGCAGCGGGCTCTAACAGGGTACGATATATCGAGCGCTTTGTATCAACCAACAAGATCGCCACGCGCACGCTGGCTCGATGAAGAAACACGCGCGCCGCCACATCGAATACAATTTCTCATATAATTGGCTGGCCTCGGGTCGAAGAAAGTGCAAAGTGGCTCCGCCAATGAAATACCTCTATTTTATTGATGCGATCGCTGATTGGTCGAACGGTGGCGCCTGACCATAGCTACTTCAACTTCGTATAGAAAAAACGACACCGAGCGGACAAGCAAAGATCGCAGAATATCGGGCCGACGCGGCACCTTCTCTCGCGCCGGTGTGTGTTCTTAGGGCGCCGCCGAATCCACTTCCGATTTTACGAACAACCAACCTCCTCCTCCTCCAACATGGGCAAGCACCACGCCACGCACCACGCGCCGACCGTCGAAGTCGACGAGAAGACCATGATCTTCCTCATTAAGTTTATGAACACGGCGTCCAAGGAAAAGCTCCTCGAGACGTTTGAAGGCCATTTCACCGACCACATGGCCGACAAGATCGTCGACCAGCGCCTCTTTGGCGGCATGAAGAAGCTCGATGACATCCTCGAGAAGAAGATCATGCGGAAAAAGAAGTTTGAAGAGTTTCAGGACATTGCGCTGAAATGGGCCGTCGAGCACAAGCCCAAGGAAAAGCGCCAAACCGCGTAAGCACCGCGGACCCGGCGACAGATTTAGAATAGTTTTAGTCATTTTAGATCGTCGTCGCCCTCAACTTAATACTGTACCAACACGCTTTTTAGCATCCACCTCTCCATTGCGAGTAGAACATGGTAGGCGCGCAGTAGCACCCCGACCAGGTTTTCCCATGCCTAGTTTCCAGAGCGCGTACGTGCCACCTGACGCAAGAACCGACCTCGCCGCCCATCTCCTTCAGGAGCACTACAGCGCTGCCTACCACGGCGCTTGCGATCGCACGTGGCTTTTGGGGCCCTAGGTATATATGTACTTGTATGCCCCGTGATCACACGTGACGCGAATCGCAGGTGAGTGTGCACCTTGTCCCTTGGTTGCGTTGAAAAAGACGTTGCAACGGCAAGGTTCGATATTCGCAGGTTGAAGTTTGTTAAAACTGGCCTATCTTCGACGACCTCGTTGCGTCGTTGCGACTCTCGTTGCGAGCTTGACTACCTGTTCATATTCCTTTTTGCCTCCAAGGAGCAAGAACCACCAGCCAACGAATTAACCACCAGCATGGGCAAGCCAACGCAGTCACCTCCGAAGTCGACCCGAAGGTCCTCCTCTTCGCACTCAAGTTTCTCAACACGGCCACGAAAGAGAAGCTCCTCGACAACCTCGACGGGCTCTCGGACAGCGTCGCCGACAAGATCCTCGACCAGCGCCTCTTTGGTGGTCTCAAGAAGCTAGACGACATTGTCGAGAAGAAGATCATGCGGAAGAAGAAGTACGAGGAGTTCAAGAGCGTCATTCTAGAGTACGCGACGGCGAACAAGCCCAAGGAGAAACCCGTCACGGATTAGGTCGTCGACGACTACTTGTACGTAGTACTGTAAGTCGCCAATGAAAGACCGTTTGCAATGTGTGTCGATTGACGGCGCCGTCTTGATGGCCGAAGAAACCATGAAGCGAAGCAGGCAATTCACGCTATGTTGATTGAATCGCGCACTTCTCGCTGGCAGGAATACCGCCAAGCCTTAGCATGTACGGCGAGGCCTTTTGCAATGTGAACGACTCATTGGGCCGAAGCAGACGGGTGATCTAACTGCGCCGACAGCATGCCATGCATACAGACACATGACGGGCCTACAGGGATTGGAAAAAGACTGCTCTTATGTGGATGCTACTTTCGCGTGCCTCATCCAATGCCTACTGGGTCGGGCATCGAAGGTTCTCGAAGGGTGACCAGGCTGCGTGACGTGGCGCTTGGTGGCGCTTCGAATTTCGAATCCAGTGTTGGCGTTTGTAGAGTGCCACGTACCGGTATATTTTTTCGGTCCAATCAGCGGCAGTTGGTTTAAAATGACACACTCTGATTGGCCATGAGAAGACGCGGGATATCTTTCAGTTGGGCCACCATAACTTGCCGCTCTGAGAGAGGCATTTGCGCATTGACCACCCCCGCCGCAAGCGACGACCACTAACCACCATGGGCAAGACGATGGACCCCGCTGCTGACGTGGACCCGAAAACTGTCCTCTTCGCCCTCAAGTTTCTCAACACGGCCACGAAGGAGAAGCTCGCGGACGCATTCGAGCAATTGAACGACGCGATGCTCGACAAGTTCCTCGACCAGCGCCTCTTTGGCGGCCTCAAGAAGCTAGATGACATTGTTGAGAAGAAGATCATGCGGAAGAAGAAGTACGAAGAGTTCAAGAGCATCCTACTCGATTTCGCGGAGACGAACAAGCCCAAGGAAACGAGCAACCAAGAGTAAGATGCGCACACGACAACAAAATCGATAGCAGTACCATTGCGTAATAAATGTAAACTCGTTTGATAGCCCCGTACTACAGTAGTACGCAACTTGCTGTATGTCATTGATGGTGTAGGGTTGAAGCATGTAACGACCGCGGAGTCGTTGTCCTCCTGGTTATGAGTGTCATGTACTTTGCTCGCTGCTGCACTGCATGTTGCGCCACCGGTCGAACGAGTGAGCTAGCGCAGCGCCTGTAGATATGGATTAATGCGGTTCGAAGCAAGTGTTTTAGTTTGGTTTAACGTGACTCTTGTCAATATACATACCTGGACTCTCAAGAGGATGCATCTTGGCCTTCGCCATGACGTCTTCGATGGCGAACCTTGCAAGCTAGTTGGGTGTGAGGGGCTCTCAGAAGCGTCTGGGCAGGCGCGACTGGCATGTGAAGTACGATGTGCCGCGCCACGGCTCTTCAAGCAGCCACGAGTAATTGCATGCGCACGAGCGTCGCTGCCTTAATGGTCAGGGGCTTGGATGACGTGGGCGGAGAGACGCGCGAAAAACGCGGTCGTTGTGTTCAAACCAAGGCCTGCAGCAGAGCGACGGTCGACTTATGCCGGGATATCGAGCCGTAGGTTGCTGGAAGCTCGTATCGTCATCACTCTTGTCATTTGTCTGAGCGCGTAGGGCAGTGGCAAAGGCAGTCGCACCATGGCGCTCTTCAAAAACATGTCAAGCTCGTTATGCTTCATGCCTTGATGGCGCAGGCGCGCTTGCGATGAGCAACGTTCGCTTCGTCTCGGTTCTTCCGATGCTTTCCAAGAAACCATGCGCACTACATTATATCGCGGTCTCCCTGCATCGTTTCGTACGCCGCCGTCTTCTTTCCAGCACCCGAGGGGCGGGGGGCATGCACGCGGCCGCTCACGCTGCCACGTTTGGCGCCAAGGATTCCTATCACTTTTTTCAAATTCGGCATCCGGATAATGGTGGCGACGCTCGTTGAAGCTCGGACGGTGCAAAGAGGATGCGTTGCATAGCCCATGCCAATTATTTCGACGTGGCTTTGCCTCCTGACGCAAGCCCTGTCACGATGTTGTGCATCGATACTCTAAGAACGGATGTGCCACGACGTACCTACCTACAGCTCCTACCGGAGTACTAGTACCAGGTACGCGCAATGGGGAACCAGGTTGACCGTCGCACCATGGTCCCACTGCAATGTGCAATCGACAATGTACGTCCGCTTTTCTAGGACGGCGAATTCTGTTTCCTGTTTCGTTCGTCATCAGCGTCGATTCTGGAAACCAGGTCGCGTCACCATCGTATCGCACGTCCATCAGATCTGGTGGCGCCAAATCGGAGGACTAGGTGTCCATACAAGTATCCTTAGTATCTACAGCCTATCCTACTATCCTACTACACTTACCGCACCACTACTGTCGTCGCGGGTCCGTTCGCTCGCCACCACTCGTGGCGGCGCGACAAGCCGATGCTGGCAGCATGCGCCGTCACTGAATATGCCACCCTTTGTCGACAGGTTTAAAAAATTCTTCAGGACCATACGAAATCGCTGGTATAAAATAAAGACGAGGTGCACCAGGTGCTTGCGATCCATTATTCTTGACACAAATTACAAACTGCGCTCGACGACGAATGACGACCGCCTTGTCCGCCGACCAGCTCCTGCGCTCGTACGCCAAGTACGCTCGCGTCTTCTTCGGTTGTGTCCTCATGCAGCATGGAGTAGCTTGCACCTCTCGTCGACCTGGATGGCGCCGCCCACCGCCGCCACGCTCGCCTGTACCACGTGGTAGGAATGCTGCTGCCGACAGACAAGCATGCTCATGCTTCTAGTACATGTAGCACGTACCTCAACGACGCCGACGCGAGCCACTGCGCCATGTGCGAACACGCACTGCCGTCCGCACCGCAGCTCACAGAGCCGCTAGCAGCGCCCCATGCCATCCACAGCGACGGCTCGTGGCGGTGTGGCGAATGGTAGGTCGCATTCTTCGATTCCTCTCGCCACCTGGATGAGCTCACTCCTCCTTCGTATCACTATTAGCTCTAGCTACAATGCGAGCGGTGTGCGGGATTGCTACAGCTGCGACGCTCCGTTCGTGTCGGTGGTCGCCAGCAGCGCGCCAATGCATCTGAACTGCAACCGATGCGGGGCTCGCAACCGCGCCTCGGGCTCGTACTGCGGCAGCTGCGGCAACGCGCTTCGCTCCAAGCTCGATACAATCAAGCACGAGGTCGCCGACACGACGAGCCACGTCGCGCGGGATCTCGGGCTCCACGTTCGCGTGCGCTGTCCCGGATGTCTCAAGGTCTGCGTGCTTCCGTCGTCGGCCTGCTTCCGCTGCGGCGCCTGCGACGTCTACTTCGCAGCACCGTCCGTGGCCGCAGTCACGGGCTTCCATGTGAGCCGCCTCACGCGGTCCCTCTCGAGTTCGGTCTCACGGCTCTTCACGCGGCCGACGACCTTTTCCGTGGCCAAGTTCTTTCAAAGCGACGACGACGACTCGTCCAGCGACGACGACATCATGTACGAGCCAATGGATGACGACGACGAGACCGATCCGGTTCGGCCGCTGACGCTCGAGGAGGAGATTCCGATCGGGATCCCGGTCGCGGCGCCGACGCTCAAGGTGGCGCGCCCATCGCTGCGACCGGCGATGGCGTCTCCGCCGTCGTTGCCGCCGACGCTGCGCAAGACGCAGAGTGCGCCGACGACCTTGCCGCCGACCGTGTCGTTTGAGAAGGACTGGGATTTTGCCCGTACCCACGACGACTTTGCGACCGACAGCGAAGACGAAGAAGAGACCAAGGAAGAGCTCGACGACGCGAGTATTCTGCGCTCGCTGCGGCAGTCGGCGTACTACACCAAGTGC